AGGGGGAAGCCCCCGGCGAAGGTGGGCGCCGGCTGGCAAGGGGCCCGGAACTCATGGCCATCGAGGGCCTGGAGAACGGGGGTGGCCCGGCTGCCACCAGCCCACGCCTCCTCACCTTCCAGGGCAGCGAGCTGAGCCCAGCTCTCCAGGCCGCCATGGCGGGGGGCAGCCCCGAGCCGCTGCCCCTGCCACCCACCCGCTCCCCCAGCCAGGAGAGCATTGGGGCGCGCTCACGGGGGTCTGGTCACTCGCAGGAGCACCCAGCTCCCCAGTCCAACGGTGGAGACGCCAGCACCCCACAGGAGCGGAACCTTCCTGAAGGCACAGAGAAACCCACAAAGCTCTGCTCCCCACATTCTGGGCCAGGGGCCCCCTCTTATGTGTTTATGTACCCCCAGAACACACCTTCCAGCCCAGCCTCAGGGCCGACTCCTGGAGCACCCCGAGCCTTCTCCTACTTGGCTGGCTCTCCGGTGGCACCCCCGGACCCACCTCGGCCCAAGCGCCGGTCTCACAGTCTAAGCCGGCCCGGCCCAGCGGAGGGGGAGGCCGAGGGGGAGGCTGAAGGGCCAGTGGGCAGTGCCCTGGGCAGCTACGCCACCCTCACTCGGCGACCAGGACGCAGTGCCCTACCCCGGACCAGTACCACCCCTACCCCCACTCGGGGGGCTCCCCGCAGCCAGTCCTTTGCTCTTCGGGCCCGCCGCAAGGGACCCCCACCTCCACCCCCCAAGCGCCTCAGCTCTGTCTCGGGGCCCACTCCTGAGCCAGCTCCACAGGACGGGAGCCCCGGGCCCAAGGAGGGGGCCACAGGGCCCCGAAGACGAACTCTGAGTGAGCCGGCTGGCCCATTGGAGCCCCCTGGCCCCCCAGCCCCAACTGGCCCCGCGTCGGACACGGAAGAGGAGCCGGGGCCTGAGGCAACAACTCCATCTCGGGGCAGCTCCGGGGAGGGGCTGCCGTTTGCCGAGGAGGGAAACCTGACCATCAAACAGCGGCCAAAGCCAGCCGGGCCCCCGACTCGGGAGACTTCCCTGCCCCCCGGCCTAGAGTTCAACCTCACTGAGTCAGACACTGTGAAGCGGAGGCCCAAGTGCCGGGAGAGAGAGCCGCTGCAGACAGCGCTGCTGGCCTTTGGTGTGGCCAGTGCCGTGCCTAGTGCCCCAGCTCCCCGGAACCTGCAGCCCCCCAGTGAGGCACCCTCCCCAGCATCACCCCCTTCTAGCCCAGACCATAGCAGCCCTACAGCTCCAGCCCCACTCTCTCCCAGCCCCGTGACCCTGCCGGCCCCAGGGCTCCCCTGCCCCGGGCCAGTCCTGGAGCACCTGGCGGGCAGCCGTCTGAATGGGGAGGTAGAGCCCCTAGCACCCCCCTCGGCCCTTGTCAAGGTGCCTGGAGCAGGTAAGACACAGAGGCCTATGGGGAGGGCCTATGGGCTACGGGGGTCCAGCTGGTCTGGAGGCCCACCAGCCATCCTGGTCTCTGCAGGAACAGCCCCCAAGCCCGTGTCTGTGGCCTGCACGCAGCTGGCGTTTTCTGGCCCAAAACTGGCTCCTCGGCTCAGCCCTCGACCCATGCCCCCTCCAAGGCCGGAGAGCAGCGGGCCTCCGGGCACCGGCCGGGCCCAGCAGAGACTGGAGCAGACCAGCTCATCTCTGGCGGCTGCGCTGAGGGCTGCTGAGAAGAGCATTGGTGCTGAGGAGCGAGCAGGGTGAGGGGCCCCGCAGCTCGGGCACCTTGGGGCACGGAGGCCTTGCCGCCCGGGTAACAGCCCAGCGGCTTGGGCTCTGGAACCACCAGACTGACTCTCCGTGGGTGGGTGGAGCCATCCGAACAAGAGGGAGGCCTTCACGCTCCCCAAGCAGGGCCCGGGGCCAGCTAGCCCTTCCTGTCACCTGAGTGACCCCTTCTCCCCGCCCTGCAGCGCCCCAGGCCTCTCCACCAAGCACATCCTGGATGACATCAGCACCATGTTCGATGCGCTGGCCGACCAGCTGGACGCCATGCTGGACTGAGCCGGCTGCCGCCACCTGTGGCATGCACTGCCTGGACCCCAGCACACAAGGAGCTGCTGTCTGAGGGACAGGCAGAGGGCCACCTGAGCCAGCGGTGGCAGTTCTGCAGCTCTGACCTGTGGGAACTGGGCTAGAACCTGACCGGCTGAGGGGACACTTTGGGACACCCCAGCAAGCCCTTCCCCCCACAGCCCTGGAAAACATGGGCTTCTCACCGAAGGGGCGTGGCCAGGGTACTGGGCGTCCCACTGAAAGGGCCTTGGGCTGCCCAGCCTCAGCCCTGGGGCATACAAGCCGTCT